AAACAATTGCCTAAACATCTCTTCTTAATGCAGAGTTTACTGGTGAAGGCGAGTTAGTTTCTACAGTAATAGATCTTTGAAGAAACATCTAAGTGAGACGAATACTCTCAGCATTGTCTATCACAGGGGTCAGCAACCTTTTACACACCAAGTGCCATTTTTGAAACCATCGGAAAACACAAGGGTCAGACAGTTCTACCTGTCACAGGGCGGGAGGGGACTCTCACTCCCTCCAGAAGGTGAAGGCACTTCAAGTTAGATAAAGTCCAGAAGGGTCCAGAACAGGAAACGTAGGCACAATAGGGTCCCCCAATGTGGCGGAAACCATCTGTTCAGAGGGTTTCAATGGTAGTCATGGGGATGGAGGTACTCGATCTAGTGGAATGCCCCAGGAATGGGAAGACAACATCACCCTAGACGCCTGAAGAGGCTAAAAAGAAAGTAAAGTGACTACCTAGTCTGCAATGACAGGACCGTAGACCTGCTTAGAACCCAAACTCTCTAATCCTAGGAGAGGGGGTTGAGGAGAACCGCGAAAGTATGGAAAAGGAAGGCCGCCTTGATTGGGGGCTCCTATACTTTAGACTTCCTTCATGGAGGAGAAGGGATCAACTCCCTGTTAGAAGACAGGGGAGCGAAGGATTCACAAGGTTAGGGATGGCTTAAGCTGGACCACCTCATGTGGCAGTGAAAAGTGGTCACCGACACTGGAATCTGTAGAGGCCCAATCCAGATATACATCTTACAGCAGTTAGGACATTCAGGAAGATACTGACTACACAGATCCATGAAGCTGAACCTCTTAGCAGGTGAGTGTGTGAACACTTATGGAGATGCCATGGGAGGTCAATAGACTGGATACAAAGGCCAAAGCTCTGAGAAACAACTGGTGTGTCCGAGCATCCTAAGAAAGGGAGAGGAAGCCTGGAAGGAGCACAGCTCCAGGACTCAAGACCACCTGAACGGAACAGATGATTCCAAGATGGGGAGTACCCAGACATACTAGGGAAGGTGCAGGGTCCAAAGTAATCTCCCAGGAGTGATAAAAAAAATAAGGTAACTAAGGTGTGTGTCAGGGGCAATGGAATAACTTTTGGGCTAAAAGGGGGACTTTCTGCACCTGAATACTTAGAGAGAAACTACCCAAGGACCCACAAAGATAAACATCTCTGAATTGGTGCCGACACTGTCCTTCCTTCTGGAGGGGGGCTAATTTTGTCCCCATGGTCCCTGTGTGCATTGTAGTCACCGCTCCAAGCTTGCTCCCACAATGGACTACAATCTCAATACAAATTAGTAAACTAAACATGAAATTGCAGTCTATCATGGTAGCGGGCTTGGAGCAGTGGCTACATTACAACACACAGGACCATGGGGAACAAAAGTAGCCCCCCTCCAGAAGGAAGGACAGTGTCAGCACCAATTCAGAGATTATTTGAGGATCTACAGCCGAGTGATGCACAAATAAGATACATTTTTGTTTTTAGTTAGGGTACTTAAATGCTTTATTTATATTTATCTCCTGAGTTCTAGTCGCTTTAAAAAAAATTAAAGCATAAATAACTTAATTTCATTGGGTATTATTCACATAGTGAGTGCAATCCTCTTCACAATCTCTGTTGGTCAGTCTTTGATGGTGCAAAGAATGGCGCACAAGATGTGATGTAGGAGAGCCATTCTATGCAGCAATACACTGAGCCCAGGATGTAGGAGAACGCATCACCAGTGTGTTAATAAAAGCCTGCACACAAGCAGGGATTGGATGATGCCAGATGTAATTCAATCCCAGAAGAAGAGAAGGGCAAATAATGCATTTTTACATGTGGAGGGTTTAAAAAAAAACAAAACAAAAAAAAAAAACACACACACACACACACACACACACACAGTATCCCACAGAAGTGAGTACACCCCTGACATTTTTGTAAATATTTTATGATATTTCATGTGACGACACAGAAGAAATGACACTTTGCTACAATCAATGTAAAGTAGTGAGTGTACAGCTTGTATATCAGTGACATTTGCTGTCCCCTTAAAATAACTCAGCACACTGCCATTAATGTCTAAACCGCTGGCAACAAAAGTGAGTACACCCCTAAGTGAAAATGTCCAAATTGGGCCCAATTAGCTATTTTCCCTCCCCGGTGTCATGTGACTCGTTAGTGTTACAAGGTCTCAGGTGTGAATGGGGAGCAGGTGTGTTACATTTGGTGTTATTGCTCTCACTCTCTCTAAAAGGTGCCCATACACTGCACGATTCTCGTACGAGAATCGCAGGAAATCCCTATACTGGTGACTGGAAGTTCAACATGGCCAGAGACGGCTCTAGAGTTTGCAAGGCCTTAGGCGGAACCTAAACATGAGGCCCCACTCAGGCCTGTGGGGTCTCACCGGGCTGTCGGGTTTAACCAGGATGGTGAGACCCCACAGAGCCCTGGTGAGACCCTACAGAGCCCTGAATAAACCAGAGCCCTGGTGAGATCCCAAACCATGTCCCAGCATGCACTTCCAGACCCAGAAAACTGCAGTATATTATTTACCTTGTATACATTTCAGAGAGCAATAGGCTTATAACAGCAATCTACAACTGCAGGTACCTGTTTTGGATGCTTTCACATGCTCGATTGTCTGGCGAGTATTTACTCCAAGATCCTGAAAATCCCGTCTACGACCGCCCCGTTCGCCGAGTGATATCTCTTGGAATCCAGCTGAGAGCTGTAGAACTGAGTTTTATGCATGTTATACAGTATGTTATGGTCCTGTGGTATAATTTTATTTTTACTATAAAATCAAAAGTGCTATTTAGAACATCGTTAAATTCCGTGAGAGGTTACAGAAGTCATGAAAGAACAGACACATCTTTACATATAAAAACGGTCACTCCTATATTTCCACATCAGTTTAAGAGCTAGTGACGTAAACAAGCGAGTGGAGAAGCTTACCATCAATCGGCGGCCGTTCAGCTGAAGGAGGTCCCCTCTGGCGCCCCCTGCCGAGAAGCTGAGGGTCAGGCCGTGATGGCTCCGACGGTTCGGCAGGTGGTGCTGCAGGTTTTGGGGGCTGTGGCTGCGGCTGTGGCTGGACAAACAAAACAATTAAGCATTCAAGTCCTGGTGTGAAGAGCAACAGAAATCCTTATACGTATTTTAACAAAGTAGTCATTAGTTTAAAGCTCATTTTACCAGGCAGGAAGTATTACCCAGAAATTGGCCATAATAGGTTAAAATGACAGAAATCCTTTAGGATCTCTGTAAGGTTAAGCAAGATAGCAGATTTTTCCATAAATGTTAAAACTGAGTGCCAGACTCCGTGCTAAATTTCACAGGATTAAAACATTTTTTTATGTAGTACACGTGGGGAGAGATTTTTTTTCTTTGATTTAACCTCCCTGGCGGTATTCCCGAGTGTAGCTCGGGGTTACTTTTCCATACCATAAGCGGTAACCCCGAGCTACACTCGAGAAAGCCGCATTGCATTTACTTACCTTGCCCCTCGAGCCGCGCTGTGTTCTGCGGCCGATGCCGTGTTCCGTCGCTTGCGAGCGTACGCGTCGCAGGGGGGTGGAACCGGTGGGATAGTAAAAAAAAAACAAAAAACGACCAAGACGAAAAAAAATAGACCGAAAAATGACATGTAAAAAATTAAATATCATACCGCCAGGGAGGTTAAGAGGCCAATTACAAAGGCTTTCCTGGTTGCTTGAAAATATCTGTGGGAGGTGGCAAACTCTTACTGTAGCTCACAAGCAAACGACCTGAAGAGTCCTACCGTGTTTCCCCGAAAATAAGACCTACCCCGAAAGACCTAGCACTATCTTCAGAGATTTCTGCAATCCAAGACCTACCCCGAAAATAAGACCTAGTTTGGTGGTAGGGGGCGCACATGTATTGCTGCATCCAAGCGGCCAGCCAGGGGTCCGAAAGTAACATTCAATCATATGAGCAGCCCGCCCGTCTGCCTCGGCTTTTACGGTACATAGAAAGCTGCCGCTGAACATTTCCCAGCAGGCAGCGGCACAGCGCGGCATGCCCAGACGGGTCGGAGTGAGGTCAGATGAGGGAACTTCTGACAGGTCCGTGCGATGAGGTGGCTCCCTGGACAGCATCAGAGAGGAGAGCTCCAGGACAGCTGCAGCCTTCAGGTACTGTGACACTGTGTGACAGTATTTGTTCACTCCCCTTCTCCATATGATACAGTACATTCCATATCTCTGCTCTGTGTGACACCTTGTTGCCTCAGCAGCGTATTTTATCTCTATTATTTAAATTATGGTTAAAAAAAAAAAAAAAAATATGTATGTGGAGGGGATACTCAATGGGGGAAAAAAAATAAGACATCCCCCGAAATAAGCCCTAGTGTGTTTTTTGGGAGGAAAAAAAAAATATAAGACAGTGTCTTATTTTCGGGGAAACACAGGTATTTATAGCGAACCAGTCCATCCAAATAATGTACTGATAAAGTGCCAGTACTGATAAAGTGCAGGCACAAGCGCCTCAAAGCCTTAACCCCATTGGACAGTACAGGTTTGGCATTGGACTATCGCAGGCATGGTGTTTAGGCCTAAGAAGTTGCAGAGCTTAAACGCTAACATAGGCAGTTCAGACCCTGTGTACAGCATGCAGCCAGGATCCTTGACCCTAATGTGCACACAGAAGTTGACTTTTATATCAATAAAGGTTGCTAATTACTAGCAGGTTGCCCTTAAATTTCCCAACCTTGCTCATCAACCTAACCAAAATTTAGACGTAGACATACCAAGTATTTTCTTCAGTAAAAAGCCTAGCAGCCAGCAACAGTTCGGGGGTTTACATGTGAACCACATGTCCTAATATAAAAACATACAATTGTCATCTTTCCCATGAGAAAAAACAAGACCTACCAGAGTATTCTAAAGTACAAGGAAGGTGACAAAAGGTTTTTGTAACACTGCCCTGCATCATACGTGCTCTGTTTGCAACTATTTAATAGGGCGAGCAAAGATCTGCAAATCAGACCTCAATATTTGTAAAGACTACTTCAGTCTGCAGAGAAAAATGTATTCCTTATAGGAAAAAAATCAAATAAATGAAATCTCATGCCATAAGGATGTGCTGCCTCCTATTGGACAGATATAAGATTGAAAGAATCATTGCACCAGTGCTGCTGCTCATTGACAGACAAAGCGGAGGGATGGCTTTACTCGCTCCTGCTCTCACAAAACTGAAATGTCAGTTTTACAAAGACATAGCCAAGTATATTGTATGGAAGACTTAAAATACAAGAACCTGTCCAGGTGTGGTCTCCTCCTGAACACGTGCTCTCCCGCGTGATCTAGCTCTCGCTCTACCAGTCATCCTTCACACCTGAGGGGAAAAACAACAAAATGTAAAAGAAGGCAGTAGGCAATCGAGCCATTTTAAAGTGACACTAAGAAGTTACATTTAAAAATACATTCAAGAACCTTAACTATTAACAGAAATGTATTTTAAGGTCCCCACACACCTTACGATAATCGTACGATAATTGCGGGAAATCCCGCGATCATACGATTATCGTAAGGTGTGTGGAAGCCGTGCGACCTCTACTACTGTAAGGTCGCACGACTTTAAACTTACGAACATGTTTCAAAACCCGCCGAGCATCGTACAATGTTTGGCGGGTGGGTGTGTAGCATGTTCGTAAGATAAAAGCCGGACGGGCCAGTGTGGGCAAGCGCACACTGCCCGTTCGGCATTGCGGTCATCGGAAGCCGCCCCTCAGGGGGCGTGGCTTGCGATCGCAAGTACGATCTGCCTATGCAAGATAGGCAGATCGTACGTTTTTTTAAGTACCTTACAACCATCGCAAGACAAAAGTCTTGCGATGGTTGTAAGGTGTGTGCCCAGTCTTATTTGTGTATCACTCGGCTGTAGATCCTCAAATAATCTCTGAATTGGTGCTGACACTGTCCTTCCTTCTAGAGGCTGGGTACTTCTGTTCCCCATGGTCACTGTGTGTGTTGTATGTAGTCACCGCTCCAAGCTCACTCCTGTGTCACCTAGGGACCCCAAAGAAGCAGAGATCTGCTTCACTAGCTTCTTCTTCTGGCCACAGGAGCCTGAGAAATTACACAGCAACACCGGAAGTGATGTAATACACATCACTTCTGGGCCCAGTGATCAGAGGAGAGATCAGCGGCTGGGAGTGTGCTGATCTCCCTCCAATCAGAGGAGAGACCCGCCCGTCCCGGTCCTGGGCTCACACGGGGAACAGCGCCTCATGCATGCAATGTGCTCAACTGCCCGGCAATACGTGGTACCGCAATAACGTGCATTGCAGTTGAAAAAGTAGTGCATGCACAACCTCCACGCACGGTACTGCGGAATGTTCTGATTAATACACCACATTGGTATTAACAAGCCCTAAAACTGAGATGTAGAGAGAGGTCTCTATTTTATTTAATTTTTCATATAAATTAATACATTCCTGGTTTTACAAAATGAAAACATCCACCAGTCCATTCAAGTATCAGAGAGGTTACTTATTTGTTCTCAGGCTCCATGCATATTTTTTAGTTTAAAGTAGTACTAGATCATCCACTTTTTTAAGATATGCATTCTAAAATAAAAAAAAACAATGAAACATTCCCCAATACTCTCCCAAACACTCACATGCTTTACTGTTTGCTGCAGCTCCAGGTCCCACAGCAATGATTTTCCCCACTTCCAGGTAGGGAAGGGTGCGTCCTGTGCCCTTTACATGCACCCTATGTTTGTAAAACCTGAATAAAAAATCTACCATTCATTTGTGCTGCGTTTGTGCCACAAAAACGAACATTTGTGCCGCTTAGGTTTTGAAGTTATTGCGCATTAAGTGGGTTATGCACAAAGCTAGCCGAAGGATCAGCCATAGCTTCAGCTGATCCTTCGGCCGCCTGAGCCCCTCGGTTCAGCAGTGCCGAAGGGCTGCTGTACGGGCTATTCACTCCCAAAGATGGCAGGGCAGCTCAGCCGAGCCGAAGGCATATGCTCCGGCTCGACTGAGCCAAAGTGAAACCTGAAGCGGGGCGAGCGAAGAAAGCCTCGCAACTGACAGCTGGGCGGAGCCAGCTGTGATCTCACGGCTGGCTCCGCCCAGTTGCAATGAAAGGCGCTGAACGGTCATTAAACAATGACAACTTGGTGGAGCCGGCCGTTGCGTCACGGCCGGCTCCGCCCAGTTGTTATTCATTGGCCAGGACCTGATAGAAGACTCTAGCAGGTCCCGGCCAATAGGAAACAGGTGGATTATTTTCAATAATCTTTCATCTTCTCTTTTTTGTGAAATCTTTTTTTAAATTGATCATTAAATTTGTAAACATTTGTCAACTTTTTTCACTGTTTTTCTATTCTGCTCGGCGACATTCGGCTATTCACTCACTGCCGTTGGGCCCCTATAAGAATAGGCCGAACGGCAGCTAGTAGCCTGCCGGAGGTTCAGCTGAGCATGTTCGGCTGAACCGAAGCCAGCCGATGTACGGCTCAAATCAGCTGTACAAACTGCGTTCGGCTCACTTCGGGTCGGTTATTCACTCAGCTGCCGTCTCCAGCTTTGTGAATAATCCCTCTAAATGTTAGATTATGTAAAAGAAATAAACCATTTGTTTGTGCTGTTTGTTCTGATTTGTGCCACAAAAACAAACATTTGTGCAGGTTTGGTTTCAGAGATGTTGCGCATTATATTTGATGAAACCCCGCCCACTTTGCACCCCATTTAATTACATTTGAAAAAGCAATATACCATTAGTTTGTGCCACAACATGAACATTTGTGCCAGTTTGATTTTGAAGTTATTGCGCATTACATTTTCGATGGTCTCCTCAAGCACCGCCCACTTTGCACACCATGTTATTCAATTTTAAAAACAAACATACCATTCGTTTGTGCTGATTTGTGCCACATAAATGAATGTATTGGTATAGTATAAATTATAAGCACCCCAAATGCGCCTGCTGCCCGAAGTACGATCTCCGGTACCGCAATGTAGTGTGTTCCAGTGCAGTGTGATTGCAAAAAAATAAATAAATCATACAGTGCAGGCTCAAGCTGCTGAGTCACTAGCTTGGGGGAGGGAGAAAAGGGGCCGGAGGCCAGGACTGTATCTTTGAGCCACCTTAGTGTGCAAGCAATGGCACCCTGTAAGAGGGAATTTTGGAGACCAGGAACTGAAAGCAAACCAATGCATAAAAAAGAAACGGGCATGCAGAAATGGTGCCACAGCACTATATATGATTGTTTTAAATAGGGTTTAATAACACCTAAAGTGACATTAAAGGCTCATTTTTCTTTCCTCCCCCCTAATGCTGCTGGAAGTACTTACCTTATGTGATCATCTTCTAATTTCCAACAGTCCCCCTCAGCGGCGCAGCACTGGTGTGCCTTCTATTTCTTCCTGTGTCCCATGAAACTTGCCCTGCTCCCGGCTTGCGTACATTCACGAACATTGTCCCACTCCTCCCCTCCAGTAACATCGAGTGTGCATGCGCCCGCACACACACACGATCTCCTGCTTGGCCATTCGGGAAGCTTTGTTCTGCAGCCGAGAGCAAGCGGCACAGGCACAGGTAAATTATTAATTGTGTGGCCACACTGAACTTTTTTTTAAATGTTGGGGCATGCCATTCTGCTTGCTAGCAGTAGATAAATGTAAAAACAAAAAAAGAAAATAGCCTTTCGTACCACTTTAAATTAAATACGCACATGTGGAGCATTAAATATATACATGTTGTAGACAATGACACATGCATTTAACAGGGACAGGGTCATTTTTCATTGTCAGGCGATCCATCATCTTTGTGGGGGTACTAACCCTTACAATTAACAACTCCCTTTACTGAAAATCTACTTTTGAAATAAATAAAAAAGATTCTTCTGAAGCGGATCTACACCGCAATCTCGTGTATTAGGGAAAAGTGCCAATTCATTTTATGTCCCATTTATCAGTTGAACATGACAAATGTTTCTTGAAATGCTTAGGTTGTGGTCACACGTGCTTCAGCTTGTACAAAGGTACAGCAAGTTTTTGCACAGCATTTGTAAAGCTTGGGCAATCTTCAAGCAGCTTGACTTTAAAGTGATTCTGTCCCCACATGCCACATTGCTGACACACCACATCAAATAAATATGTTATATGTGTACTTACTATGGCTGTCTTCGTTGAAGTAGCTGGTGCAGTGTAGCAATGGTACTTTTCTACAAATCCCTCTGATGCTTCTGTGTGTATAATAATCATCTGATTCTTGACTGACCACAGCTGCCCCCCATCTCCGCCCTCTACAGTCAGCAGCCTATTAAATTGCATGGCTAGCCTCACAGGTTATCTGTGCATACATCAATTACAAAACAATACCTGACTTAAGGTGCCCATACACCTTACGATTATCGTACGCGATCGACTTTTCGTGCGACAATCGATATGTGTGAATAGAGTGCCCGACCGATAGCACTGTACAAGCGTACGACTTTTGACAGTCACGCATGTTTGAAAACTTTGGTCGATCGTACGATGTGCGCATGGTTGGCGGCGTTTCCGTCCGTCAAAAGTCGTACGATTAACACTGCGCATGCGCAAACAAAAATAGTTGCGGTCAATTGCCGCAAGTCGTCCGGGTTTTTTTTTTTAACTACCGCTAATTGAACCTTGCGATAATCGGGGCCGCCGTACGAAAATCGTACAACGGTTCGATCATCAGACGAAAAGTTTTGTCCGATAATCATAAGGTGTATGGGCACCTTTAAACATGACAATTAGTGATGAGTTGGGGTTTGGTGTGAACCCAGTTCACTCAAAACTGCGATCAACACCTCCACCCTGCCCTGGCACAATTAGTGGCAGCAGGTGCATCCACCGCAGCCACAAAAGGACAGGGAATGCACCCACTGTAAATGATTGGGTCAGGAGGAGGGGGTGCTCGTCAGTTTTGAGAGGGTTTGGGCAAACTTAAGTGAACTTGGTCTAAGCTCATCAATACTTACAATTTAAGGGCTGGTTCACACTATAGAGTTGCCATAAATACACAGGAACCGTGCGTTCAGATGCTGCACCACACATTCACTCTAAGGGCCGGTGCACACCTAGGCGATTTATCACGCAAAACACAGATTTGCATTGAAGCCAATGGAGGCTGCTCACAATTTTGCGGTTTGTCGCACGCAAAGGTGCAGGAGCTATTTTCGGGCGGTTGTCGCCCCATAGACATCTCCATGCAGTGAGAGACGAACAACAGTCGCGCGTAAACTGCTCAGCATCTGAATCGCCTAGGTGTTACCAGAACAGCGTGTGTTGTTGTGGGGTTAAAAAAAACGTATGCACAATTTTTTTTTACCTCATGGGAACA